CTTCAGTTTAATTTTTGAAGAAAAATCACAACTTGATACCACCTCTCCCACTGCCACTTCATTTTTACACAAATGCTGGGCACCAGAGCACTTGCTGAGCTCTGTTCTATTTAAGTTTGAAGTGCTTACAGCCTATACCCACAGTGGCATTTGGTCTAACACCTAAAAGGACATTTTTGATACTTGTAAATCTGAATCTAATCTCATTTTGGATATAATTCTCTGTTCTACAAAGAGATACAAGTGGCCATGAGGTGTTTCAAGAGCAAAGTGCACGGCGGCGTTGAAGTGCTGTGCTGCCACAGGCAGTGGCTGGCAAGGATCCCTGGAGGGCATAAGGGAGCCTGGGGCTGCAGACCTGCCTGACTGCACCAACTGGAAAGGGTTGCTCCAGCTGGGAAGCACAGTCAGTCACTCAAAATTGGGTTCAGAGGATGAGGAATGGAGGCAGAACCACATAAAGATTTGTTAAAAACGTTATGTTTATGTTACCTACTTAAAACGTGATTCTAGGAAAAAAAAAAAAAAGGCATGATAATTTAAAAATCTTTTTAACTGATCCACGCTTAATCAAACTCTCCAGGACAGAAAATGCAATAAAACAAAATCCTTAATGTCTTTCACTTCCTTCTGTAAAATGTTTGTAGCTGTGGGAAAATTTGCATGAACTGTTCGTGTGCGTGTTTGCAGGAAGGGGCTGCAGCAGGTACAGTGGACAGATAGTGGCAGTATAAACCAGCTTTCTGGACTAGAAAAGTAATTTTAGAAAGAAAGGCTCTTTCTACCTCTCTTTTTGTGCGATGTTAGGTCCCAAAATACTGACAGATGTGATCACTGAAGCTGAGAAGAACAGGCAGGTGAAAAAACGGGGAAAAGCAGAAGAGTCTTTTTGCTGACAAAGTAGCTGCAGTGCCCCGTGTGGGGGCAATCCTCTGAGCTCCACTCAGGACCTTCCTCTGCACCACGGGGACCAGGGGGATTACAGAGGGACATTGTATTTCCTAGAAAGAAAGATCATAACATCTGAGGCTGCCCTAGGAAGAGTTACTGCTTTCTGAGGCTGGCCTGAGCCTCCAGTTGCTGGCACTGCTGCATCCAGAGCCTCAGGGGCAATATCACAGAGGAGAGGGGAATAAAGCATGCACATGTACAGGCATTTCTTAGATCCTGGTGGCTTCAGCCCCTTGAGACACCATGTAACCATCTTGACATACACCCAAATCTTAACAAACATGGGGAATTTCAAGTTACATGAGAAAATTAAAAGGGTCAGACTGAATTATCCATCCCAGTACCCTCTCTCTGCTGGGGGCTGGCAGCAGTGAACTGGGGCAAGAGCAGCAGCAGCAAGGCAAAGGTAGGGTAATCCCTCCTCCTACCCAGCCTGCCAGCAGCTGGCAGTTCGCACTTAGATCAGACCCACATGGTTTATCGGTCCTAAAGAAAGAGTTGTAAAAGGCTATCCTAGAAAATACAAAAACCTATGAAAATATACCAAGTAAGCTTATCAAAGAGATGTATTATTGCAAAGCACAAGAACTCTCCTAGCACACAAATGCATTAAAAAAACAACAGAGGAAAATGAAAAAAAATAATAAAAAATAAAAAAACCCAAACCAGCAAAAACCTACCACTAATACATGAAGCAGAAGCAAGAAAACCTTCTCTTCAAAGACAATCAGTTTTAATATGGTGTCAAAAAGTTGAAAATCGAAGATGCACCAAAGTGGAAAAATGTTAAGAAGACACTTGGGCAGTCTTAGGAGAGGTAGGAAAGGTATCATATCCGTTAGGTGAAGAGATATCAAGAATAAATGGTGGTTTCTTATTGGGAGCATTGTGGTAGATAAGTGTTCTTGCGACATGTGTCATTTAAACAAAAGAGCTTTTGGCATTTAAAGAAGAATGCAGGGAGAAGATTCTTCTTATCTTCCCAGGCACAAAGGCTGGATATATAAAAAATGTGCATATTGATCATCCAAACAGAAAATGCCATCTCACTAAGGGCTTATGCACACATGGAGTGCTGTGGAAGCAGCTGCTTCTGATCAGGCCCTCAGTGAGAACACACTGGAAATACTTCTTAGCATTAAAAGAGATAAGCCTTTAAGCTAACAAGTCTGTGCAAAAGCTTATGCCAATCTTTTGCAAAGCAAATATCTTATTATTTAAATACACTTGTATTCTCTTCAGGCACAGCGATTGTGGTCTGTGTTTAGCTGAAAATGGCTTTCCCCTCTTGAATGCAGTCGTCTTGAGCATTAATGTCTGGGAATGATAACCATGTCCCTCAAGGATTGCAATGACATTATAGCTTTGTCAAACATGTACTAGCAAACAGTATGAAATCGCTGTGGTCATCTGTATGGCATAAGGGAATCGCAATACTTATTAAGTCTTAAATATCGAACACAAGCCTTTTATTAGGGTCTTACTTTGTGCCTCCTTGGATTTCACAGAATTTCACAGAATATTCTGAGTTGGAAGGGACCTATAAGGATCATCGAGTCCAACTCTTAAGTGAATGGTCCCTAAAGGGATTGAACAGGGATTGAAATCTTGGTGTTACCAGCACCAGCTCTAAACAACTGTTAGTTCAGTAGCAATCCAGTTCCCAACTAGCTGTTCCTGTCTACTCAGTGAATTCTGTTCCAGGTGTCTTATTTTCACTGTACCTGAGTCAATCCCAATATTTCTATATCCTCCTATGTTAACTTCTACAGGCTATATGAAATAATTTTCTTTGGGTAGAAGAGTCAGGATGGTTCCACTGTACAATGTGTGAGTGGAGTCAGAGTTGGACTTCGCTGCTGAGGTTTGCATAGAAAGTGGTTTGTATTTCACTTCCTCTCAGTTAATTTGTGTGGTTGAAATGTAATTGTTCAGCTAAGCTGAAGCAAGAGATTGCTTTGAAATGATTCTTGTGCCAGCAGATCTTTGTCAGTGAACCAAGAATCAACAATTTGCATAGGTTTTAAAATTCTTCACAGCCCCTCTTCTGCAAATGACTTATATATTTGTCTTGATATCATAAAAATGTTTTTGTCTAGTTCTCCCTTGGAAATGCTCAGTTAATGCTCCTCCCTCCCCTCTGCTTTCCTCAGCAAGACTGGATGCCCTTTCCTCACAGCACAGCACAGCAGCACGGCCTCCTGCTGCACACAAGGACTCCTCTATGCCAGAACTGAATGCAAGAGGAACTGTCCCTCCGTGTCCTGTAAACTGAACAGCCAGGCTAGTTCTCGTTTCTGTGATAGGACGCGATGCTGGCTCACGTGCCCGAGGAAAAGATACAGGCCTTCACTCAGATCAATAAAACTCATTCAACTCAGTGAGGCTGAATATACAAGACAGGATGATAGCACGGGACAAGGGTGTTAGAACCAGACTCCTTACGTGACAGGATCTATGCAAAGAAGAGAAATTGCTTCTTTGAAAGCATTTTAAAGGGAAGAATTTGCAAAAAGGGCTGATGAGCACTGGTTTTGTTCACAAACTAGATCCCAAATGCTGACGTACAATGTATGAAAGAAGCCTAGGTTTGCTGGGAAAGTTACTGCACCCCACCTCGTTCACACTCATCCTAACGCTTAGAGCAACTAATGAGCACCTTGTTTTTTCTACACTTTCTTATGCTCTCCTTGTATGTCAGATGCTCCAAGTCCTCAGTCATCTTCATGCTCCTGAACTGGACACAGTAGTCCAGATGTGGCCTCACCAGTGCTGAGCAGAGGGAAGAGTCATCACCCTCAACCTGCTGGCACTGTTCTACCACTGCAGCCAAAGAGGCTGTTGGCTTTCCTCTCCTCCTTTCTATCTGCAGAAGCCTGGTTTATGGTACTTTAGTGAAGGAAAATTGTGGTAGCAATAAGTCATACCTTTCAAACATTCAGCAGATGATATCATCACATTCAGTAGAAAAGTAGGAAAAGAGAAAAAGAAAATCAGTAAAATGCACAACAAATTTCTTTTATTGAAATACTAGGCTGTACTTGCCAGTGAAACAAACAGGGCTGTTTTGAGCTGCTAGAAGAGAAACACAGATTTTTGTGAAAAAATGCTTAAGATTTATTTAAAATACACAAAAGTCATGTGTCAGCCACTTACAAGTTCTGTACACACCTGCAAACCATATTAACTAGTGATATGCACAGAATCAGAGTACTCTGATACTCTTAATACTTAAATTGTAACTGATTTTAATGAGGATGAACACTTATCTTGAATAAAGTAATGTGAGACTATTAAGAAAATTAGGGAAAATTAATCACTCAGTAGAATTTTAATAGACAAGTCTGAAGATACTATAAAGAAAAAAGTCTTTTCAAGCAGGCAATAAAGTATTTCAAGGCATTTTTGTGAGCTTTTGCTTTTAAACTCCTCAGGAGGACTAAAAATAGGGTATTCCTAGGCTTTCTAAACATGTTTTCTTTCTCCACCCTGCTGTCTGGGATTTCTGGATATGCCACTCTGATCAAGCTGCTGTTGAGTCCGGAAACTCTTGGCACATCAACTCTGTGTTTACACATCAGTTCTCGATAGTTTTCCCTGGAAATCAAATCACTGCCAGAGGGTTATGTACCTCTCCTAGGTCAAACACTTTTGGATACACAGCACTCACTATGCATGAGCTGCACACAGGGACTAGGTCCTGTAACACCCAAAGATGCTAAGCGCACCCTACCTGTGCAGCTCGTGTGCTTGCCCAAATCGATCCCAGACAGGAATGTGGCAGGTCTAACATCAGCATCACTAACATGCTTCCTGCTAAGCCCACTGAGATACTAATCCATGTAAACAGAGGCTCTCCCTGTCCCTGCTCAGCACTCAGAGGCTAGGGGGGGCAGGACACAAAGGGAGGACCCTCCATCTGGGCCAAGGAGGTCCTGTATCCTTTCAGATACCATGCAACCATTTTGCTCTCATTTCCATTTTCAGATGTATAAAGTACAAGGAAATTCTTCAAAACAAACACTTGTTTCATTTCAAAAAGAAGAGGTTGTGATGCCTTTCCTGTACCTTCTCTCCAGGGGGGTGACATTGGCCATTCATGGGTGTTGCAGAGAGGCACCTGGGGCTGCCTCTTCCCCCAAACCCTGTGTGGGAATACGAGGTACCACAAGGTATAGCTGAAGTTCTTCAGGATTGCTTTTCTCAGGCTTCTTGAAGAGGGCAGCATGTGCCTTTTTCTCAGTTTGTAGAGTCAGCATGAACACTAACATTTCAGCTCCAGCTTCTGTCCATCCTTCCTGGCCACATTTTCAGAACATGGCTGAATACAGTAGTTCTAGAGTGATTCTAAATATTAGCTGTGCAAGGGGTTATGGAGAAGGCAATGCTATCTAAGTTGGGTGTTCCTGGGCCTTCTGAGTAGCACTTCCCTTTGAGAGGAGTGGCATTGCTTTCTGGGGCAATTTACATGTTTTGCAACAGTACTACTTGTACGTTGTTCATCAGAAAGAGGGGCAGAATCTGGTAATTTCCAGTTTTGAGCCTTAACCTGAAGCATGTAAGACTGGCCAAAGAAATTGGCCAATTGTTCACCTAAGACAACCCTTCCCTTTCGACCTTTCCCTTTTCAAAAAAAAAAAAACTAAGGAAACAACCATGCAGCTGTTTTAGTAAGGGATGTTCCTTTTGCATATACCCTACAGTGATTCAGGAAATAACTGGAATTTCAGGTACAATGAGAATGAAGGATTGGACTTGGCATCATTATCTGAATTCATTAATAAATATGTACAAAAGAATGTCCCTTTGTCCTTTCAAGGGGTTATGAGACATTAGACTTCTTATTTAGGACAAGTAAGCAGTTTATTTTCACAGGGGATTATTATAGCTGAGTTACAGCCTCATATGCTTTTCATGAGACAAGAAGGACATTTTCATGGGCAGCTTTTTCTTACAGTTGTGGTCAATCTTAATGTGTGAAGGACAGAGCTTCCTACTTGTTTCCAGATAGTTTCAGAATTATTTTGCTTCAGATGTTTCTGAAAACAAACAAAATAAAAAGACAGGGTGAAATGAGAAATTTTACTTTTTGATCTAAAAATTGCACAGAGAGTACAGGTGAATGAGCTCTTGAGTCAAATTAATGGCCGCAAGTTAGGGCTTGTCTGTGCCGTAAAATGGTTTGTCAGTACCATTACACCAGCAATCCCAAGACTACAGCAAAAATAAAGGTAATATATGACTCCAACACAGCTCTGCCAGCAACTTTGCCTAAATAAGTGAAACTGATACCAGAAAATTTTTCTTTTACTAGTATAGCTTATGCAGTTTAGGGAAATATTTGACCTACACAAGGCCAAAGAACTCATTTAGTCAGTATAAACTCTGACTCCAGCAAAAATTTTCCTAGTGTTTCTCCAGGATGATTACAACCATGGTGCCTGTGTCATGTTGCTGGTCTGGCAGACATGGGAGAAGAGATACCTCCCTCTTGGAGACAGGCTTCCGAGAGGTGTGCCCTGGGGCTGATGTTAATTATTAATTTAATTAATATTTAATGGTAATCTGGAAGCGTGCTAAGACTTCACCAGTGCGCTCTGTTCCCAGCTCTGCCACACTATAGAAAAGTTGGAATCTGATGTCTGGGGAATGGCAGTGCTTGTGCATGTAGGAAGAGAATATTTAGAACATCTAAATAATTGTGGTAGTCTCCCCTGCCCTTAGAGTCTCTGAAATCACAACTGCTTTGAGACAAACTGTTTGAAGTTCTGTCTGTGTCAAAGCTAAGAACGGATTTGCAGCCCTAAGAGCAGCACACTTATTTATTTGCTCCTTCCTGATTCTTCCTTCCTTCTGGAATCGCCATTGGTTGCAACCTGGAAAAAAGCTTCACTTAACATATTAGGGAAAAGTGGCAGTTGAAAAATCACGTAACAATGAAAATAAGCAAAGTAGATGATGCCCACAAATCTGCACTGAAAGTTACTTAGGAGGGAGACTTTCTAAAGTGCTGAGAATACACAACTACAGTCAGAGACTTGGGTTCCTCACTCCAATAGCCCCAAGGCTACAAAGTTACCTGCAGCCTTTCAGCCAGAGGCTTTTCTAAGAAAGAAACAGCTAACTTAGAGGGTCAGTGGTATGACAGCTCCAGAGAAATGTCTTAGAAAAACAGTACAAAAGGTTTAATGAAGATGTGGCAGGGTCAGAAAGACTGGTTTTCATTTGCAGTACTGTCTCTAGATTTCAATTATGAAGGAACCTGCATCGCAGCAGAACCAAGGTAAAAAAAAAAAAAGAAACAAGTTGCTCCTCAATCTATTTCATACAATTACTTTAATAATTTGGTACAAATTGAAAAAAAGAAAACCCTACTTTGCCTGAACAAAACGCCCTCAGCTGTTCAGTTCATGAGAACAGGAAAACACAGCTGTGTAGTTTCTTTCATTCCCTACTGCATTTCTCTATCTTTCCTACTTTTCTTTTTTGTGTCTCCTATTGAATAAGCACAGAAGGTTAGTCAGCTGAGACCATTCCTTTCCGGCACTTATGTGAAGTTCAAGTCCAGAAAGCAACGTCCTGAAACAGCCTGACACCAGTACTCATTTTCAGCTCTCCAGGTGGCTGGGTCATTTTGCTTCCGTCCTTTTCCAGCCATGAGATTACAAGCAGCTATCAGGACTGGAGAAAGAAGCTGCCTTCTCTGTTTTTACTGCTGTTCTTTTGTTGTTGTTGCTGTTCCTGCATTCATGCCTCTCATTTTTGTTTGCAGGGACATAGGAGGAGACATTACAGCAGCACCACCGTTATTCCAATTCAATGTAATGGACCTTTTCTCTTCCGATTTTCTCACACCCAGGAAAACTCACTGTTGACATCTTTAATACCACCTAAAAGACTGTCAAACTCAGGGCTTTCCTCAGTAAAAAAGCAAAAACAACTCATTGCAGTAAAAGAAGATAAACTTGTCTTGTTAAAAAGAAAGCCACACATTTTAAATGCTTCCAGGGTGGTGTGGGGTTTTTTTTCTTAATTTCTCTTAATCTTTAATGAAAGGTTAAATAAAATATGTTAATGATGGTTGTTTCTATAGCAAGCTCAGGCATCTGTAGTGAAGTCCCTTGCTTAATTGCTTATTGTTCTGGAGTGATGAGGTCATGTTAGCATCATTGACCCACTGGGCACATTTTTTCTATCAAAATTAACATAGTAATGACCTGAGGCAAGTCTCTGTTCTTTCTTTCTCCTTGTTGCTTAGAATGAGGACTAGCTCTTAGCAGTATCATCCTGCCATGCTTTAGCCCTGACTGTGGAAAAGATTTTGAGGGTGACACTGGCGAAACACTGCAAACAATAAATACTGGTTTTTTTTAAGCAGACTTGACTGTTGAGGTTTACTTCTGTATTTCATTAAAACTATTTTTCCTCCGAATGACTCTATTTAAAAGTAATTTAGATCAATAGATTTAATTTTGATAGGTCATACATACCGAATAATTAAAAGTAGATATTAATAAATAGCATAAAAATCCCGAGGAAAGAAGGAACTGTGGGAAATAGCTGACTGATGAATTCTTCAAGAACTAACACAATCAGATACTAAGCATTTGGCACAGGCGAAAGAGACAACATATTTTGGTGCATTATTTCTCTCTATATAAGCATAAAACAGCTAGCTTGGTTACTTTATTTGGCTAGACATTTTATAAGACTTTTGCCCACATTAAAGGTTAATTGCATATGCCCACATCAAATCCATATTTCTCTCAATGCTCACATGTGAGGAAGCTTAATAGAACTTTTATGTGCTAGAAAAACGCCATAATGGAAGATTTCTGATGGCTGGGGGAGACCAGCAGCTGGAGGAGCCACATGCTCCTCAGCTAATGATTTCAGAGGGTGGATACTTGTGTGAGCCATCAAGGATGATAATTTATGGGACTGTTTTATAATCCAGACAGTGATCTCCCTCAAGATGGCAAAGGTCCTTTCTTTCATGTTTTGCTAGAGCCCCATTAGAAGACAACTAATAAAGTGAAACCTTACCTCCACTGATAGGGAGTTTAAAGGGCAGGTGGATAAAGACTTAAAGGAGCTGATGCCATAACAGTAAGTACTATAATCAGATGCTGATCCTCTATGCTGGCTTTCTTCTTGAGAGCATGCTTTTCCTTTAATGCCTATAGCTGCAAGGGGTATTTTAGTCAAAAGAGATTTTAATTCTCTCTCAGCTTCTTTACATGGTAGAGCAAGACCCCACCCTCAGTGGTTTGTGGACTGAGGAAATAATGTGTTATGTGAAACATCCTACTTCGTTTCATTTTCCAGTCTTTTCTGTAACTTTGGAGTTTTTGCAGCTGTGAGCAGGGGAACAGATGGTCTTATGTATACCACACACTGCTCTGGATGTCATGTTTCTGAGGAGTTTGAGCATTTCAGGAAAAAAATAACAGCTTATTTCAGATTCACTATATTGCTTAACTCAAATACATATAAATATTGCATGCCAGTTAAAAATAAATAGAAAGTACATTTTGAAATAAAATACCACTTCATAAAAAATATTTTTTTTAAATCTCTGAAACAAAAAATTTCAAGCTTCTCTGTGTTTTCATGGGTTTCTCTTCACAAAAGAAGCAATTCAGCTGAATCAAGTGAAGTTCATACAAGATTTAGCTATGAATGAAAAGAGCTAGGATCACATAGTTTCACTCATACTTAGAAAAATTCTCATCTCTGTTTAGCTGGAAATGATGCCCAGAGATCTTTAGAAGTAAAGACCCTCTCCACTAGCATCTAAAGCCTCTGCAGATTGCCTGAGCAGAACCTTGATGTTTAAATTAAAACACAGATTATTCCTGAAAGCTTTTAAAGTGACAACTTAGTCACATTTCCAAAAAGAGGAAAAGGACTGAATTCAGAGTATTATAATTTATTACAGCTAAGAGGCAAAAATCAGAAAAAATGCCTGTGCACTTCTATCTCCAGAGCAATGATAGGCACTGCTTTAACAAAGGTGACATGGCTAAAAGTAAGGGGGTCACAGAAGGTGGCTCAGAGGTGCCTTTCCTGCCATATTCACAGGATGTTTGGGGTAACAGTGGCAGCCCCAAAGGAAAAACCTCTCTTGTTTCAGGAAGTGAAGGTTACAGGCCAGTCTGAAAAATCACTCTGCCCAGACTTGTTTGCACAAGTGACCATAGGTTATGCTCACCTTCTTCCTTCAGAGAGTGTAGGCTTATTTCCAACGCTGCTGTCATGAAATGCTTTTCTTAAGTTTTCAATTATGTTTTCATCCAGATAGCTGTAGTCATGCTCTTCCTCCTCTTCCTTTTCTGCTTCACAGTTACTTGTTAAGCCTGAAAAATTAACAAAAAATAACCGTAGGAAGTGGCAGACTCTGCCCTTGTCCTGAAAAAAGAAAAAATTCAAACAGGCAATCATAAAAGCAGAGAAAACGATGTTTCATTTTTCACACAGTACTTGTACCTCTAATTTGGCCACTCCCTGCTACCTATGCACATATAACTAAGGTTTATTGAAATGTTTAAATTATATAATCACTAACAGCATAAAAGCAGGCAGATAAAATTATCTGACCATAGTAAGAGAAAAGCAGTCCACTTGCCACAAGCCACACATACCATCCTTACTGCAGATGTGCTCCCATGCTCCTGTGTTTCATTGCTTGACAAAATGAGCTACTGCAGCTAGGAAACCATGCTGTTACCTTGGGATTTCCTAGAGCCAGAAACCCCACTTGCTGCTTATTCCAAAGTGAATAACAGAGACACAGTCTTGAAAGTGGCTTGAGGTTAAAATGAACAGTGTTGAAGTACATTTCTTTACATCCACCTAAACTAGCTCAAAGTAGCACTGATGACAAACCTTTCAGAAAGCAGCAGTCTTCTCCCAAAAGGGCAAAGACCCTCACTGGAGGCCTCTTGGGAGTTCAAGCGCTGGGGCAGCCCCTGCTTTCATCTAGGCATAGCAAAAGTTTCACATTACAGCTCACACTGATGAGCTGCAGGTTGCTCTCAGGAAGTCCCACCGTCCTCTCCCCTGCTTGGGTGGTCCTACCACTTCCTGAAGCTAGAGGAGGCTCTGCAAGTCACATGAGACCACTGGTCTCCTGCAGCAGAACCCCATAAGGATCAGTCAGTGAGTGCCCCACATGCCTCCTGTAGAGGCACCCGATCCCTTAGCTCAGGCTGTGGTGGGGAAAAGCCAGGTGGCAATAGGACCAGCCAGGGCTGAAGTAGTGGCAGTGGGACCAGCTGGAGCTGAGGTGGTGGTGGAGGTATCATCAAAGTTTCCCTGCCAAGAGCAGCTCACCCTTGAAGTTTATCAGGAAGACTAATATTTAACAGAGCTGAGAGGATACTGTATATCTAAAGCAAAAAGTTTCACCTGAAATTGCAAAACCGTGTGAAACACTGTTTTGGGTACAGGTGTTCCTGGTTGTTTAATTTGCTAAGACACAACCTGAAACAACCGACAGCAGTGCACTAACTGACCTCCCAGCAAGGCTGTGCTTGTCAAACACGTCCTTCTTTATGGGACTAAGCTTCTCTAACACAAATCCTCCCAAGTTTACTCTTGCAACCACGGTGTGCCCCTTCACCAAGACAATAACTGTATAATCCCTGAGCAGTCTCCAAATCCCATTGTGTTCCTCCTGAGACTCTCCATGGCTGTTGTGTGTCTCCCTGAAAAACTGGTTAGTAATAATTTCTTTCTGAAGTTGCGATCCTTTCCTTTATATGTTTTTTCAAGGCTAGAAATAAACCCCAAGTTAAGCAAGCAGCTGTCTGGCCACAGCAGTACAGAGTCTATCACAGACTAATTTATCCACAAGTCCCCTGTTAGTAAATTAGCAAAATATTTCAAGATCTAGGTATCAAAAGGAAAAAACCAAAACAAAACCCCAAACATATGATTACAAATGTATTGAAGATCTCATTCACACATATGGCCACTATCTTGTTAATAAGCATTTCCAGGTTTGTAGTTCATTTGCAATTTGGCTGTGTTTGATATCAGTAAAAGTAAACTAATGAATAAAACAGGCTCTGAAAGAATAAGCTAATCCCCGTGATTCAGCAAGGGAAATATTGTTTGTGCACTTAGACTTGCTAATACGGATATAAGGTACAGATTGCTCAGGGATGGCATAGCTAGACTTTCTTCTTTCCCAAACATGTGCAAACAAAATTATACGGTTCTAAGCAAGACAGCTCAAGGAGAAAGAAAATTAATGTCATCGGGCCAGACTAAATCACAGCTGTCCCCAGTCCCAAACTTGTGCAGGATGCCTTCTCAAATGTATATATTTACACTTCAATAAAGCATTAAGCAATGAATAGACAAGCTGAACAATCCCAAGGGGATTCTGAACATTGAAATCAATGCAATTTACTTCCCTGTTTGAAAAAAAAAAAATCTATTACCCTCAACACTGAATTACCTAATCAGATAGGCCATCTCAGCCTGCCAAGAAAATAAGGCTTATGTCATCGTTCTGTCTATCCATCCATCAATCTCTTTGGTACTTTTACAAGTTTGTTTCTGCCAATTTCAGTCAGATTTGAAAAGGGGGCAGAAGTCTTACCGTGGTTACAAAAGCAAGATTTGAATTAGTTCCTCCATTGAAAGAGAAGCACGCAGAACACAGCTGTTATACACTCCATTTGGCAGCAGGCAGCAGGATAAGTCAGCGTGTGCATATTGGCTGGCCACTCAACACACACATTGCTCCAGATCTGCTCTTTTTAATTTGATAGGAGCACCATAAGGAGAGTTTTGGTTATTATCAGGAAAGGCAGAGAGAAGCAGTAGGGGACAACAGACCTGAATACTTATTAAACCAAATTTCGTTAATTCTGCGCTTCCTGGAACAATTTGTATAATTACTTTTGCCTTTATAGTAGAAGGGTAGTGCTCTGCAGACTAAAATTTTCCATTTATCTCACTTGTATCTTCAAGTGAGTAGGATTTGATTTTATTTTTCTCAGAATATACTTGCTGTTGTTCACAAATTTCAGGGTCAGAAATGGTTGTCCTAACTCTCCATTTTGGCCTTCTTCAAAATGTAGGCAACAGAAGTAACCCAACCCATCAAGACCCTTGGTTGGATGAAACAAATGCCAGAGACCCCAGCTCACGTACATATAAGACTGGCTGCACACCTAAATGCCTCTGACTGTGTGACCATAACATATTTTTACAGCTACGGGAAATATTTCAGATCAGTATTTACAGTGCATAAATTAACATTCAACCACATAGCATTTATTGTTTATTTATGCCTAACTTGAAAAAAGTAGTTGTGAAATACCCTGCATAATAAGATTATAAACTCCACATGGTAGAACCACATCCTTATTTCTGCCCATCACATAAAGGAAAACACACAGAACCGAAGGTATATGCATCAACCAAAGTGTTTTTATGAACAGCAGCATTTTATTTGCTGTGAGCCTCGTTCTAATGCTCCTCAGTACTAATGAGAACTAATTCCTTAGGGACTGCTACTGAAAGTTGTTCAGTGACAGCAGAATCTGAGCCCATAAAACTAATGGATTGTTCCTTGAGCTGATATCCATCAACTGTTCCTTCATGTGATGATGTAGTGTATCTTTAAAAACTGTTAAGTGCCACAGTCAAAATATTTCATATAAACTGTAGAGCTGCAATTCATGTACGGGTAATGTTTATCTCCCTCTGGAATCTACTAACCTATTGTTTGGAAAAGTTTAATCTTAAATGTAATTTCTTAAAAAAATCCTAAGTTTCCTGAGAGACACAACTGTTCACCTCTTTCACTGTCCTTTTAATTTTTTTCTTTATCAGTTTTTTTTTTGCTAGTCTGTCTTGATGGTTTTATTGAACTTTTTGAGATCTAATTTCCACTGTTGTGCCACTGCCTCATATAAAATAAATCCCCAGTGTATCAACAGCTCTTGCAGATCAGAAATGGTTGCTGTAAGTTCTAAACAACCACCTATTTCTTGCCTCATCACGCATTCCTGCAAGAGTATAAGGGGAAGGGCTGGGCTCAGGGCACCATGACACACACCTTCCCAGGCTCTCCAGTGCTGCTCTGCTTGAGGCTGGACGAGCAGAACCTGCCAGAGACTGGGAGAAGGGACTGACATGATGGACCCTTTAGTTACACTACATATAACACATATATGTATAAATAACTACATATAACACTGTGATACCCCCTCCTTGCAACCATCTCCATGAGCTCCTGCCCGGAACCTCTGCATATTACTGCAATTAAAATCAGTCACATCTAATAAATCAGTAAAATGTGGAAGGATTCAGAGCCTTTGCTTTCTTTCCCCTGCTGTACAGCAAGTTAGAGTTTGGTTAAGGGCAAAACTGATTGAAAATGTTTAAATATAATTTATTAAAACGTACTCACCATCCAATGAAGTTATATGATCTTTGTATTTTAAGCAATTTTCTTGCCTTTTTGTAAACTTAGATGTGGCAACCAAGAATAAGTTTTGTGTTTACCCACCAAAACCCAAGAGTCTTTTTTTTTTTTATTATTATTTTAAGATATTTAGAAGACCAGAGGAGCCAAAGAATCTCATAACAGCTTTGCTCTAATCAAAGCCTGAGCTGAGTGTGGAAGCCAGAGAGAGTTGTCACACATGCACAGAGTAAAGGATTCCTAATGCATATTGCTTATCCCCCTGCACCCAATTCAGAACACTAATGCAAATGTGTGATGACATCAAAAAGAAAGAGCAGCTTTTTTTCTTTTTTTAAATAATTCAGAATTCTATGTTTTAGTTTTTAAATTTTTGGGATTGCTATGTTTAATTCATTTTAATACTGGTTTTAGAGCACAGTGACATAGCTTAATGTATTGTTTTAACTAATGGGACAGCAAGTTGCAGCACGGGGCAAAAATTTCTTAAACCATCTTTGCTGCCAAATTTATCAGACATGATATGTACATCCTAAAGCACAATCAGAAGGCCTATTTCTCTTTTTCTTTCTCCAGCCCACTAGCCTCCTAAATCAAGTACCTAAAGACAGAATATACAAATACATTCCCTAAAATATCCTAACTTCAAGAAACAAAATCAACATAAATACCATTTTATTGCAGTCTGTAACAATTCCAGAAACTAAACACAGGCAAGAAGATTATGCAATGTTTTAGAGACTCCACATAGAATAACTTTCAAGGTTAAAGAAAAGTTGGTACAACAGATTTCTGTTGAGAGTTATCCTGCAGTTATTGC